TTTTTTGAAAAAATAAAATAAAATCAAACACGAGGACTTCCCAGGAGGTCACCCATCCTAGTACTACTCTCGCCCAAGAATGCTTAATTGCGGAGTTCTGATAGGATCCGGTGCATTGGTGCTAGAATGGTCGCACCCATCTATCTATATATATATATATATATATATATATATATATATACACGCATACCCCAATCTGTTGGTTGGCATCCACGGTATAAGATCCCTCAGGTCGGGGGTTCGAATCCCCTCTGGCACGGTTGGCCTCAAAAAAGTGGTACTCGAATTGTTAGGAATATTAGGGATGGTTGGTGGCTCGTATAATAGCGTCTGGCCATTCCTTTTAATATATATAAATATATAATGTATATCTATATTTATATGTATGTATCAATGTATATGTATCGATATGCATAAATATATTGAAGATTACTTCAATAGAGGAAAAAATTAAAATAAAAGTAAAAAAAAAAGAAATTGAAAGCACAATTTGAAATTATGGAACACATATGATAAATTCCAATAAATAAATCTAGAAAATTCATGTATGAATCATACTTTTAATGTATTTAATTTGATATTGTTTCATTAGCCTACAATCAAATTCTAGAATTTTGCTCTTTTCAAGCCTCTTTTTTGAGAGTCCACATCTAATCATCTATCAAATATTTCAATACAACTTATTTTGAGGCCATCATAGATGATGAAGTTATGTTCGTTATTGATTGTGAATACTAATGATAGCTAGTACTTTGACACAATAGATTATTGATAGAAAGCATAAAAAGTAAGCCCAAATTCGCTTAATGAATTAAATAAAATAAATTTATTAGAGTCGTATTTTCCCAACTGAGTAGATTAAGTGTATGGCATTAGGTAGTTATTGGTAAAATGTGGCAGCAGACTTTTGAATTATATGTGGCTTTGGAGTCTTAAAAGTGGTGCATTAGAGTAGGGTAAGCTCGCAATCTTCCAGTTAGGACTTCTAAAGTAATCTGAATTATAAATAGGACTCATGCGGTGGTCATTGGGCATGTGTAGAGAGAGAGTAATGTGAGAGAGAGGGAAGCAGTGGTTGTTTTTGTTGCAAGAAATTTGAAGTTGTGTGAGACTCGTGGAGGGGATCTCATGTGTTGTTTGAGAGGATTATCAAGATGGGGTTTGTGTTAATCAACGGTTGGAATTTTTACAATTTTAGGAGAAATAAGCGTTGCAAATGAGTTGGATTATCGGGTGGTGTTCAACTATTATGAAGTTTAAAAATAAAGATGGGAATTCTTATTCATTTTTCAGAAATTTATTCAAAATTCAATTGAGATTGATTACATGCCAAATATACATGCTAGCATATGCTATGAGTATTTCATAACTAATTGTTCTGGGCTATATAATTGACAACTTTTGGGTTAAACATAAATTTTATTTCCAAGTTTAATATTTTAAATGCAGGTTAGAGTGCGATCAAGTACAATTACCCAGTTAGAGAAGAGCTCATCTCCTTTACTGATATGAGCTTCATTTTTCTTATTTCAGCATTCTCGTTCCTTTATACATTTCATCTACTTTAATTTCATCCTTGATTATTTGAATAGTTCCATTGTCAGTTGAAATAAATTTCTAGTACTGCCAACTCAAAATTAAATAAATTAAGTTTTTGAATTAAATGATGGTTCCTAATCTGTGAATCCCCAATATAATTACACGCAATCATATTTTGCATCATATTATTTGCAATAGGAAACTCAAATCCTAAGCCATCATGCATCAATACCATTCAACAGTTTATCATAAAACAAGCATTATTCCCATAGAATCATGAAATAAATATCATTCAACCAATGACAAGAAACTAACAATCTATGCAATGGGATTCATATGGAATCCCCTATTGTACTTGGAAAGAAGAAAACCATATAAAAAGATGAGTAAAGCTAACACATTATTCAAGCGCAAGAAATCAGAAGGAAGAAAATAAAAGTCGAAAAAGAGAATTTAATAGTTGCAAGTACGCACATTAACTTCTGCATGGTGATCAGTTTCACTAGCTTGTTTAAGTTTTGCTGAAGTATCCTTCACTAATTGTCCAATATGTAGCCGTGTCTTGTGCCTGGCAATAAACAAAAAAAATAAAGATTCTAATAAGACAAACTTAGGGAAATATACAAAAAGAAAGCAAAATTTGTAAAAGATAAGGTCAAGTTTAAAAATAGGTTTTAACAAGAGGCTCGCTAATTATGGTATTTTTGCAATGTAAATTTTAAAGCACAACAAAATGATAGTACCATACATAGTTTATAATGATACATTTGCACATGTACATGGCCATTGCACTGGGCTTGCTCCTTTAGAAAGCATGCCAAGGAGTTTTGTAAACTTGCCTCCCTCGTTTGATGATGTTCACAAATGAACATAAAAGAGTTACACATAATATTGTTTATTCCAATCAATTTGCATCTAATTTCTTTAGAATTCACATAGCCACCAAACTTACACGTCAATGTTCAGAATTCCACCAAATCAAAAATAAATAAAATAAATTAAACAGACAATCAGTTGCGCACGCAATCAACATAAAGCATCCATCCTAGTGCCTATCTTGGGAATATATAATGGATAAGAATAAAACTATTTATTAAAAATAGATTTGCTCAATATGTTTTAAAAATGTATTTTGAATCAAAACTAGTGAAAAGCGGCCATGAAAATCACAAAATCTTTCATAAAATCTTATAAAATTTGTGGGCGGACATCCTAGTGCCTATCTTGGGAATATATATTGGATGAGAATTAAACTATTTATTAAAAATAGATTTGCTCATAATGTTTTAAAAATGTATTTTGAATCAAAACTAGTGAAAAGCGGCCATGGAAATCACAAAATGTTATAAAATTTGTGGGCGGACATAAAAAGGCTAATCCAAGTCATACTAGGAAAAAAATATTAAGCATAGACATCCCCTTTATCAAATTATCACAAGACCAAAGAATACAACATCAATCCAATGGATTAAGTTCCAACTCCTACAACAACAACAACAACAACAAGAAGCTTTTATCCCACTAAGTGGGGTCGGCTACATGAATCCTTCTTCTCCATTGCCGCAATAAATCTAAAAGTTAGCCTACAAAAATCAAGATAGGAAAACTCTTTAGGATTTGACCTTAAAATAAAATAAAATCAAACCCAAATCCCATCAAAGTTTAGTTCTTTGGGTTTATCAGAAGAAGAAAAAAATTCAAGTCTAAAGAAAACATGTCACCAACAAAGCTTTCATAACAGATAGAGTTTGATAATTCACTTCAATATACCTTTTCTGACATAATCATGAGATTTCGATAAGCTTTATTCTCAAGTCACTAATCGGGTTATGCATAATGATTGCACAATAATATAAACATTGCAGCCGTTAATTGGAGGATCTTCCATCTTTGAGAGGATAATTTCTATTGGGTGCCTGTGTGTATTACAAAATGCATCTATCATATGAAAAAGGTGGGTATGCAAGAATGAGGATGGCCTGATGTATGCAGCCTTGCCCTTATATTTACAAAAACAATGTTCACATACTTGAATCTGAGACCCAATGAGGGCCCAATGGCTTGAGCATGTTAAGAAGAAAAATCACCCATAACCTTAGGATAGAATAGGGAATACCTTTAGTTTCATCTACCCCTAAAAGGTAAATATTCAAAATAAATAAATAAATTATGCACCCTGTAAGTGGAACTTTTCCCAGCCCAAGGCCTCGTTCTCTCCAATCTCCTCTTTCTCATACCATCCCTCTACATCTCATTCATATGGTCAGAATTTCAATCCACATAAAACACATGCCTAAAACCTCATGAAACACAAATCACTTCTCCCATATTCTCTTTGGTATCAAGAATACCCTCCCTTTCTGTTTAATATAATTATCATATTCTCTTGAGCCATTACAAAACAACATTGATAAAGCAAAAAATTAGTCTTGCTTTAAAATATTATCATGCTGGCACAACTAGGAATAATGGTTGATAAGAAGGCAAGAAGCCCCAAAACAAGTTCAGGAGGCCTTACAAGGAAAATAAATCAATTACACGGTTGAAATATAAAACATTTCTAAAAAAAATATATTCATGCACATTAAAGGTAGCCACAAGCCAAAAGAAGAGAAGTTATTTGATTGATTTCAATGAATATGGTTCCTTGGGCAATTCAATCACTCCTACCCTTCACAACATTTTAAGAATACTTAACTAAGTAAGCTGCATATTCAAGCTTGCAGAATAAGAGCTAAGAGGCCGTTCGGAATCACTTTTGTTATTTTCTATCTTTTGCTTTTACTTTATTTTGTTCACATTTTAACTTGAAACAAAACATGTTTGGATATTTGATTAAAGTATGGATGTTTTTAAAAAAAAGTTGATTTGTTTTTAGAAATATAAAACAAATAAAAAATGAACTAAACAAACCTGCTTTAAAAACGAAAGAAAAATCATAATAACATAATCAAATTGATACAAAATAAGCCCTAAAACTATCATTAACATGTTGACCATGTAGGATCCATACAATTTACAAGAATTACAATCTATTGTATTCTACTGACGGTATTGAATCCCTCTCATCTAATTGATAGATAAAGACAACCCTAGGGTTATACATTGGCAACACAAGTTTAATTCTAGCGGACAAAAGCATAAGCCAGACAAAGCTTCAAGGTTAAAACCCCAATAAAGAAAATTACAAACTTAAAAGTTTGATGAAGCACCGGTTCCCATTCATTCAAAACCCAACCTCAATTACTTTCAAATATTCAAAATAACAGCCCTTATAGGAATTATGCATCTACAAACAAAAATAACAAACCGATGAAGTAAGTGATACAGACCAACTAGCACCAACGCCATCACCATGAAATCCAAAGCAGCACATGTTCACCTACCCAGTCCTTTCCCAATTCCTCCATCATCAGACACAAGATGCTTACTCCCAGATATAGTCGTATTCATTGAAAAAGAAAAGCGGAAAGGAACAGAATCTGAGGAAACTTACAGCTTCTCCCGGAGCTCCGGTGTGTCCTTTGGGGTTCCGAGCGTGTTAACAAGACGCTGGAACGTGGAAACTGCCGTGTTGATCTGGAACACGCCAGCAGCGACTGCCTGAGTTGGATCCTGCTTTCCGTTGATGAGATTCTTCCTACCCTGAAGCTGCCCACCGGATTCGAGATCCTGAAAACTCATCTCTCATACGAATAAGAAAAACGATTAGAAAAGAGCAAATTTTGAATCCTTTACACCCTCCTAACCCTAGGCCGAACAGAACCAGCAGATTCAGGGAGGAGAATTTTGATCAAGGAGATAGAGAATCAAGGATGGGATTCCTCTTTGTTTGATCTCGACTGGATTTAATATTGTCAAAGGAGTATAAGGAACAAAGAAGCCTTAAGAAATGGGGTTGAATCACCAGCCTCAACAGAAACAACTAAGCAAGTTCTATAACGAGTGACGATCGTCGACCTCTGTTGAAAATGTAATTTTTTTTCCCTGACGGGGCCGCCAAATAAAGGAGAAATATTTGTGTACATCTTATGTACGCAGCGCTGTGTACATCAGAAGTTATTTAGGGGGTACAATGAGGTTATATCTGGGTTATACCCCCCTTGTAACCTCCGGTATAACCCGTATATAACTCCCCTGTACCCCCAGAATAATCTCTGATGTACGCAGCGCTGCGTACATCTTATGTACGCAAATATTTCACCAAATAAAGACTTTTGGAACTGAATTAAATACAAATCAAGCATCCTGTTTTATTCCTTTTTTTTTATTTCTCACTCAAATATCAAACATCATGATAAAATCTCAACTCATATTTTTCAATTTTATCAAATTCACAATAGTTTTGTGATAAAACATGGTAAATACATCGAATTCATAGTTCAAAAATTCACCTAGGTGTTTGATTTGTAAATAACAATGTGTTTTGTGCTCTATAATGTAAATATCCTTAAAATTAAAGATAAATGCTACTTGATGGAAGTTCTATTTTTTTTTTGTTGGAAGTAATATCATCTTATATTATTATATATTTATTTGTGACATAGTGGATAAGAGTATTTTATCTCACTATGAGGTCGCGGATTCGAATTACAGATATTCCCCTTTAGACTTATCTTTCTCGAAAAAAAGAAAAAAAAACAAATTACATTATTTAAATTTTAATTTATTTTATTCTTTGATACTTTTAAATAGTATGATAGAGTTTTAACAGCTTAAATTTTGAAAATTTCTTTAATAAGTAATTATTAAATAGAATTTCTAAAGTGTTATTGTGAGGGCAAGATTTTGAGGAGCACGTAATATAGGCATTTTATAGGGAGGAGTGATGTGTTGATAATTTTGTACTTATTGCTACTTGTTTTTGTGTTTTTTTCATAATTAAATTACACTTTGAAGAAGGTTTTTTGTTATTTTACAGGTTGCGGCAGAAAAGGGGACGAACAAGAATCAAAATGAATAGATTTAGAGAAAAAGGAGCAAAATGGTAATCTGGCCACTGACGCCTAAGCACCGAGTCTATGGTGCCTAAGCATCAGTCCATCCCCAAATTAAAAAAAAATCCCGAGAAGACGGAAAGGTGGCGCTGCCCCTTGGGCACCTAAACTCCGCGACCGCGGTGCCATGACAACAGTCCCTTATGAAAAATTATTCAAGTGATTGGCGCCTAGGCTCTAGCCACTAGGCATTTAGGCGCCAAAACAATTTTGGCAGTTCCAATGGACTGATGCACTTGTTCACTTGGGAAACATATAAAAAGGATGGAGATAAATTAACAAGGGTTTTTTCCTTATTTTTCTTCTTCATAAAATCCTTGAGGGAGGAACAAGAAGGGAGAAGGGCAAAAGAAGATCAACTAAGATGTGAGAAATGAGTTTGAGAACATAAGAACTTGTGCTTGTTACTTCATCTTTTTTTCTATTTTTAAGAAAGAGAGATAAGTATTTTGGAGTTGTACAATGTGGATTGTATTATTCTATTGTGAAGACTTCTGTTTTCAATTTTTCTTTCATTCAAAGGAGTTTATTGAATTGTTCAAACATGAATGGTGAGTGATTCTCTAATTCTCTCTTGGGATGGGGAAATAAGATTGATGAATGCGAAAGTTTTTGTATAGTTTTGAGCGTAAACTTTTTTGTTAATGATTAACTTTCTGAACTTCCTTTACACTTCATTTAGGTCATTTGATTTGTTAAAATTTGTTGCGAATTATGAGTCTTGGAAGATATCATAATAGAATCAACTAAGTTAATCACACTATTCTAAGGAAATAGGGATGTATCTTATAGGGTAATGCAAACTTATTGGGAGAATGATATAATTAGAATGGTAATTAAATTTATGGAAGCAAGTCTAATTTCTAGCCATACTTCTTTATACTACCGAAAGGAGGTAAAGAAGGGTTGTGCTTTTGTTTGTCATCTTGATTTTCCTTAAATTACTTTCAAATTCGATGGTCATTTTTAATCCATTTTAGGGGAGAAATTTTAAGCACTCAAACCTTTCAACTTCTTTGTTATTAAATTAAAATTACTAAAAACATAGGATTAGTGTGTAGGAGTTTAATTAAACCCAAAATTTCAGACAGGCTAAAAATTGTAGACTATAATTATTCCTGCATTGAGTTCTCCTCATTCCCTATGGAATAGATCACCGAACTCAAACCTGGTATTATTGATACATCATGTATACTTGTGTGAGTCGCTAGTACTTCGCGACACTTGGTGTGTTTCAAGTTTTTGGCCTCATTGTCAGGAAATGACGATGAATTTGATTTAGAAAAATTTTAGTTGAACTTCTTAGTCCTACACTTGAGAATTACAGCTTTCACTATGTTCTGCATTTAAATTTACTTGACTTTATTCACAAAATCCAAAACCATCTTGTTTTAAACTTGTTTGATTTTGTACTTGCATTTTTCCTACTTTTAATTCCTCCATAATACTTGTTGTTAACTTGTTCTTGATTTAGCAGTTTATTTTTTTGTTGTTGTTTTTATTTGAATTGTCTATTATTCTATTTTATATGAGGTAGCTTGCTAGTTAAACCTAGTTAGTGTATAAATACTTCAGAACCTTCAGGACTTAAACCCTACCACCATGAGTTAGAGATGACTGTTAAAAAAAATCACAAAACTTAAAAGACTGCAAAAAACATTAGGAGAAATGACTAACATACCCAATAATAATTTTGAAGTACATAATCAGAACAATAAGCCTTGTCGACACTTAAAAGTTTAGAGGAAGTTGTGGGGGAGGAAGTTTGTTGAGAGAATTTGTCGGCCGCCCAGACTGATCTCATATTCTTAAAAGTTTAAATAAACGAGCCTAACACCGTAAGTAATGCATCCATCTCGAAGAATAGATACACTACTTACTGGTGAGGCTTGATTAAATAAACTAAAGAATTTATGATATTTGTTTAAGTCTGCAAAAAAACCTTTTATGTTTGTCAACAAGTTCCCTTATTTAATACAAAAAATTAAATATGATTTATATTAAGCTGAGTTCTTGAAAATTTCCTATAAAGGCAAGCCCTTATGTTAATTACATCTTAGATAACCAAAGTTACCTAAGAAAACTCTCAGAAACTCTCGATAAAAATCAGAGGATATTGTCTTCAA